CAGTCTGACAAGCCATAACTTCTACACAAACTTCTAGATTTGTAACAAGACCTATAGGGATAATCTGAGATTTACTCAAATTAACCTTGAAGCCAGACACCACCTCAAACCAACTCAAAATTCCAAGCACCACCTCCAGTTGATTAGGAGAAGCATCAACAAAGCATAAGGTGTCATCAGCAAATTGAAGAATATTAATGTTTTCTTTTCCCGGAGCAATTGCAAAGCCCTCCCAAAGCCCATTCTCAGCAGCCTTCTTGCTAAAGAGAGAGAAAATTTCCATGACGCAAATGAAGAGTAGGGGAGAGAGAGGATCACCTTGCCTCAAACCTCTTGAACTTCCAAAAAAACCCGTCGTTTGCCCGTTAACTAAGATGGAGAACTTAGGAGTCTTAATACAAACTCTGATCCAGTTTCTCCAAACCTGCCCAAAATTCATTTTCTCCAAAACCAGATCCAATCAGTGCCAGTTAACATGATCATAAGCTTTTTCAATATCAAGTTTACACGGAACACCTGGGGTCCCCTCTCTTCTTCTGGACTCCAGCAGTTCATTGGCAATGAGAATAGAGTCAACCATCTGTCTACCCGGGACAAAAGCACTTTGGTTACAAGAAATAACACTGCCTAACACACACTTCATTCTTTCAGCCAAAACCTTAGCCAAGATTTTGTAGAAACTGTGCAAGAGACTAATGGGCCTAAAGTCCTTTATATTGACAGCCCCCTCAATTTTTGGAATAAGAGTGATGAAAGTTGCATTCAGATTTCTCCGAAAGGAGGCATTAGTGTGAAATGCCTGAAATACCTGCATCAGATCACTCCTCACAATATCCCAACATTTTAAGTAGAATAGATTAGAGAACCCATCAGGACCCGGTGATTTATCATTTTCTAGCTTCTTTACTACACCCTTAATTTCCTCTTCTGAGAATGGTCTCTCTAACCAGATTTTCTGCTCTTCATTTAACTTATTAAATTGGAGCTCGAAGGGAAAAGGTCTCTGAACCCACTTCTCTTTATAAAGGTTCTTATAGAAAGAAGTAGCTACAGATTTAACTTCAGAACTAAACTCACCACACCTGTCCTCCCAACCAGCTTGCTGATTGAAGAGAACCTAGCACAAGCATTTGCCATTTTGTGAAAGAACTTTGTATTTTTATCCCCCTATTTAAGCCAAATGGATTTAGCTCTGTCTCCACTTCCTTTCTTCCTCAACTGCCATCTTATCATAYCTGATTTTTGCAATTGACCTCTTAAGTCTCAGATCTTCAGACAAAGGACCCGCCTCTTCAGCTCTGTCAATCTCAACAATGGTGCTCAACAAAGCCTTCTTATCAGTTATCAGTAACCCACTTCATATTCTTCTCCTTACTCCAAATTTTTAGTTTACCCTTGACAGCCTTTAATTTTGATGCCATAACGAAAGAACTAGAACCCTCCACTTGCAACTCATTCCACACAGAGCTGATTAAGGGGATAAGATTTTCCTCCTCAAACCAAGCATTTTCAAACTTAAACGGGGATTTGACTGTCTCATGGAGACCACAAACAAGCTGAATAGGGCTTCGGACATCGGTCTAGGAAGGGTAAGCTGTCTGAAATCAGGAAAGAATTCATCCCAGTTTAAGAAACCAAGAATCTGTCCAGCCTAACCAGGGTCAGGACAGATTGGTTATTGGTCCAAGTGAATCTATTACCCTGAATTGGGACATCCATTAATTCCATATTGTTCATGAAGTCAGCAAACATGTTCATCGAAAGTACTGGTAGACTTGCTCCCATTGGTTGGGATGCCAAGGTGGATTTTAGGCCTTCTTGACATCTTGATAGAAATCAATTGTGACAATTCTCGATTTCTTTCTTCTTTGGGTTCAATATAATGATTCAAATGGTAGGAAGGTTAAGTTCTGGAAAGACTTATCGAAAGGGTGAATGACCACTTAAAGAGAAATTCCCTAATATCTATTGCCTTTTCTCTGAATAAAAATAAAACTACCCCCACTGTGCAAATGTTGAAATGTCCACTGCTATGGAATTGTTGATTTTCTTCAAGGTGTATCCTTTAACTTATACACTTATAAACAATATCATAAAACTCGTATTGTATGCTTGGACCAGTCAACCTGGGAAGCAAGAAAGCATTCAGATTTTTTTAAGTCCCGATTTTCAAGTTATTGAAAAACCAGTGGAACAGGTCAAAACCTAGCAAAACCATTGAAAATCAATCGGGTTTCAATGACCAGCCGATTTTCACAACCCACCCGGGTCACTAAATCAATGGAAACCTTAAAACATTAATAGGAAGAATTGAATCCCAGCCTAGGATCTGATGAATCGATCAATTCATTTCTCCATTTTCTACAAAGAGGGGAGCAAAGAGCAAAATCTAATTCCCAACAAGAGGGTCGTTCTTTTGTTTTGCATTTATCTAGCCACAACGTTCAAATATAATATAAATTACAAAATATATCACATATATTGTTT